TTTACCTTTTCACAATAGACAATAGATTGAAATAACTCCATGACTATCTCAAAAAACGCCATCACTTTCCCAACCCAAAAAACAGTTTCTGCTTTTTTTGGAGCTGGTCCACTGTTTGGACTGTATTTTTGTTTCGGACGTATCCAAGTTTCGTCTACAGTAATTAATCGGTGCCAAAACTGGGATTTATTGCGCCTAAACTGTGCCAAAAGAGCGTTGGAAATGTTCATTCAAACACGTTTTTGGTCTAACGTGAGCAAACGCGACACCAAGCGCGCGCACAGCTTTGTTTTGACTGAATGTTGATTTAATATGTGAAAAACACGTTCTTTTGACATGTTCATAACCTCTGATATCTATTTCACTTTAATTCGTCGTCCGCCCAGCACCATTTGGTGAACTTTGGCGATGTTTTCGTCGGTAGTTGTAGTTTTTGGATATCCCGAACGTTCATTGTCTTCCAGGTTTAAATTCAGCTGCCCAAAAATTTCACTGCGGTAAATGGTGGTACAGAGTGGCAATATTCACAGACAAAATTGCCGTTATTGGAGTGACACGAACTCTCACGTTTTTCGGGAAACACATACTCAATATCCAGAAAAAATTAACGTTTCGGCAGGATTATAGGGAAACCATATTGTAGGACCTCTATTTATTGATCAAAATTTAACAGGGGAACTGTATTTGAATATGCTGGAAACCCATGCAACCATGCTCAATCTTTGAAGAGATGGGACGAAACCAAAGGATATAATCTTGCCACCTTGGGTGACCCTGAAAAGCTGGTGCCGAAGAAATATTTGGCAATGACCAGGAAAAATCTACGCCTAACAGTAGGATTTCTGACTGGTCACCGTCAACTGGGGAAACCCCTCCATAATATGGGGCTGGTGGACACACCTCTATACAGAATGTGTGAACAGGAAGATGAGACTGTCAGGCATGTCCTGTGCGAGTGCCCGGAGCTATCGTCAATAAGAGAGTGTGTGTTCGGCGAGTCATGGCCTACACATGGCCTACAATGGGTCACATGTGGCCTAAGTACTGTGGGTTCACACTCACCTTCTCTACTCTATAGATACCGATGCTGGAAACTACTGTTGACCTTCTCACTGAAATCGTCGAATCGAATCCTAATGAATTCGATATGGATATAGTATTCCAACAAGATGGAGCACCACCACATTATTTCAGACAAATAAGAAACTATTTGGATACTACTTTTCCCGGTTGTTGAATTGGCCGTTGAGGTCCTACAGAATGGCCAGCCCGCTCGCCAGATTTCACACCTTCGGACTTTTTTTATGGGGCTATTCGATGCAAAAGGAATACGAAAATGAACTTGCTTCAATATTGGATATACGGCAGAGAATAATAAATATTTGTGAAGATATTGACGTTTCTGTGTTCGAAAATGTTCGGCGTGAAATATCGGATAGGCTGTTCATATATCATGAAGTTCAAGGCAACCCTTTCGAGCATCTTCTGAACCGACCTCAAGCTTATTACTTCATATTATGTAGTTAAATGTCAATGTGTCCAGGCAATTATTGAAAGTTCCGCCATTTTCTAGTAGTTGAAGATATTGCCATTATATTCTAGGGTTGTGAAGCATTTGTCAGTAGCTTCAAAAAGGTGTGTCACAAGACCCACCTTTCCTTTTAATTTTTTTCCCAGATGGCGCCCAGTCGCCATCTTGAAAGTTTCATCTGTCAATTTCACTTGAAAATAAAGTATTCAAGCATTAATTTCATTATCCCAAATTTCAATTTTTTGAGTTGACTCGTTCAAAAAATAAAATGGGGGGGGGACAGAAATGCACTGTATGACAGCTCGATACTCGATTACGTCCATTTTCATAAAAACACTCACGTCATTTTACTCAAGCGACTGTTACACAACAACTGCGCGTCAAAAATGGCTGAAACTTTGGTGACTAACTGTTAACAGATGAACAACGAAATTCACTAGCTGTGTTCTGCTATCTCTATGTTGAGATCGGGAACTTTTCAGATCACCTTCGTATACAAGAAGCAGTTTGTATAATACAACCCTGAAGAAGCTATTGTGTAGTTGCTGTGTAAACTGTCTAGTGGAAACATCAAAATCAAATGTTATTCAAATACCAAAAGAAAAGAAATCAGCAATTGAATCAAGACGTACCTAAAATTAAAAACGGCCTTCCAAAGAAGTCTCTTTGCACACGAAAATAACGGATGGGTTCCTGGGATCTTGGCGACATTTGCATCAACTTCAACAGTAACTTTGCGTTTCGATGCCAAAAAAGTTGAATCAACGCTTCCGAAAACACGAAAAGAGGACAGTTTCTAAAACTGAATTACCAACGCGATTACCAAACGAGAAACAACACACGATACTTACGTTTTTCGGATGATGTAAACATTTTATTATTGTTATTACACGCTGAAAGCGCTGTTTATGAAACATTTACGTTATCAATTATACTTGGAAATCGGAGTTTGTGTTTTTTTGTTCGATCAATGCATTTTCTCAGGGTTCTTGCCCACTAACTGATGATTGATAGTTAATTGTAGAACCTGTCATGATTTCCAGTGTCAATAAATCATGTGGTCAGCATTCTCGCAAAGCGGACATTTCAAACCATTTAATGAGAACCATGTTTATTTCCCAACATCTTGCTATAAACAGGTACAAAAGGAACTACTCCAGTTTCTTTCTGAACGTGAAATTCTTAGAATAATAAGGTTAACATATCGGGTTCAAACAAAATTGTTTAAAAAAGGTGATTGATAAATGGATTGCATTTGTTTGAAGGTGATTGATAATGTTTCATGATGAATTTCACTAGTTCGGACTAGTTGTCTAATATATAAAATGATTTGAAATCCCTGAAACAACTAAAAAAGAAGAATTAAAAATGAATAGCTGAAAATAAAAATTATATTAAGCAAAAATAACCCGAAATGAAATAATAGTGAAATAAAATACAAGTAGAAAAGAACGATTGAACAAAAATTAAAGAAATAAAAATGACTTCACGAAAGACATCGTCTTTTGTGAAGGCATTTTGTCGAACTACTAGGGTCAATTGAAGTCACACAGCAAGATCAACTAATTAGCTTCGACGTGGAAAGCCTTTACACCAACGTTCCGGTCGAAGAAGCACTCCAACTCATACAGAGAAAGCTATCCGAAGACGGGAATCTGAAAGAGAGAACGAATTTACCTATAGAAGTAATTATGGAATTACTAGGATGCTGTGTACGAAACTGTTATTTCCAACTAAATAAATAACTATGTATAAAATAAAATAAATGAGACATCTGCTGTTGCACAGGGTAGTTACTGTGGACTGTTATTACTCAACATTTCAATATGATCTTACGAATCCAGTAACAAAATTATTTCATAATAATATGGATTTCTTTATTTTTAAGGATCTGTTCATGCATGAGCTTCATTTGTGTATTATTTTGATTTGTTGGCAAGAGAGTCATTTGTTGATTATCAAAAGAAATGGAAACTCCATCTTCATAGGATGTAGAGAAAAAAACACTTTCTGTTTTTCTCTGATCTGGATATAAAACTATAACAAGAAACAAAATAAGAAAGAAACAATAGCTCTCCCGTTACCAATGCCTCTATATGTAAAAACTACTTTCGTTATGACCAATGTTGATATTAATTTTGAAAAATGACAAAAAAAATAAGTATTTATAGTTCTTATCATTCATCAAATTTACACTTCTTGATTTGAAATAGTATTAGTGTAAAATTCTCTATGTATTCATTTCCACCATTTCAGCTGAGTGATGATCTCAGTCTCAAAAATCCAGAAAAAATTTCAACATTGATATGATTTTTCAGTAATTCATAAGAAAGTATGTATTTTAATGTTCGATAATTGAATTTATTTTTAGGATGACTTGTATCTTGTATTTCGAGTCTGTGTTGACAATGTATTTCTATAGATTATATTGGAGTTCGTAGTGTACTACTATAGTACTAATCAAGCTCTGTCATTTGATACCCATATTGAGGTAGTTATGAAAAAATATGTAAATCGCCATTTTTTAGCAGCAGCCATCTTGGATTCACAATGATACAGAATGTATTAAATTATATTATCATCAAAACTAAATGTGTATACCAAATATTAGATCAATCTGTCAACAGAATGGGGGTTAAACTTAAATTACTAAGTTAACTAGTTTAGTGATCTAATAACTTTTTCAAAAAGATTGGTTGGATCAATAAAAAACACAATTGTTTTTTTGTCAACGTTTCGAATTTAATTAAATTCTTCTTCAGGGCTTGAAAAGTAGTTTTTTCGTGTTGATAATATTACTCAAGCCCTGAAGAAGAATTTATGTAAAGTCGAAACGTCGGCAAGAAAACAATTGTTTTTTAAGGAAAAAAAATTGATGCTTTTACCCAACCAACCTTTGTTCAATTGAATTACTGAATTTGAGCCAAAAAAAACAGAACAAGCTAAATAAAATCGTTTAAAAAGTGAACCTGATTTAGATAATTTTTGAAATTCTGATAGTTTCAAGGTACTCTCCTTGTGTATGAAAATGATTGAAGGTTCATGAAACAAGAGTTTTTAAATATTCGGTTGCATTGGTGCCATTCCACAAACTTTTGGATTCTATTGATAAGAAAGAAATGTTTTAATTTCGACAAAACTAGGAGCAAAAATGTATTTTAGCCCCTAGTTTTGTCGAAATCGTCAATTCTGATAGAAAACTATGTTCTTCGAATGCGAATTAGAAACAATCGGTAAGTCTGAAATCATTTCGATTTTCTGAACATGTCTAATTTCGGAATGAACATTTTTCATCTATTGAGTAACTAACAAATAAGCGAATTTCAAGTGAAGTAAATCTTCATTTGGATCACTTGAAACTTTCCATTAATTTGTAGGGTTTCTCGAGTAAAAAGTAAACACCGAACCATCAAATTGACACTGACATTATGATCTTGCAGATCTTGTAATAAAATGTATAATAACTTACCGCTTGAAGAACTTTCTAAATTCATCCACTGGTAATTGAGAGGATGAAACATATTTCCGTGTTGTTTTTCGAATTCATAAAATAGATTGGAAATCATTTGTTCAATAACCAAAGCACAGTAACAACTATGGTGAAAAAAATTACAATTTCACAATATCCAAGCAAAATTGGTTTGATCAAGATAGAACATGAAAGATAAATGGAACACGAGATCAAATTTCAGTTTCAAGATGTAATTATAAAGCAGATTAGTTTATCAGTTGAAAGAGTGAATTGAAGAGGGGAGGGAGCAGAATCCAAAATTTGAACATACAAATTCGGAAAATTGAGAAAATGCCGAGTTGGAACAATTCATAATGAGATTGAACAGAACACTGACTTGAGATAAAAATAATCAAATTAAAATTTTGTGCCTGAGATGATGCAAAGTTTGAAATCCAATACAACTGAGTATTTTGATGAAACAACCAGCAGAAATGCTTGGATTTTGTGTAGTCTATATGAGTGATCTAGAGAAGGAGAATCTTCAAAAATTTTTAAGGAAGCCATCATGGAACCAGAGAGATAAAACATGTAAGCAATTACAGATTTTTGTCATTGATTACGGACCTTGCTGATGATCCTGGAAAAATAATGAAAAAAAGATTAAAAACCACGAGAAATATAAGTTTGCAGCAAAAAAAAACAATTTGGATTTCGAGAAAACAAATTGACGAATGATGCAATAGCTCTAGTAGTGTCATAAATCAATGATGAAATCGATAAAAACATGACATCGTTTTCCATATTTCTTGATCTGAGGTAGACATTTGATATTGTTAACCATGATTCACTATTACGGAAAAATTAGATTTTTTTAACGCGATACTCCACAAATACACAGCACAGTGTGAAAATGGAGGTATCCCATTCCCAGTCTCACTTTCAGTCGAAACTAAGAGCCATATTGTTGAGGATACATCTGTCAAATTAGTTGTCATGGTGGATAAAATTGAATTAAATTATTCAGTACACGATCGACCAACACCGGTACATCGACGAAACGCAAGATCTGCCGAAAACATAGCCGCTGTCTGTGAGAGTCGATTTTGCGCCGCTCACGAGAATGTATGTATACAATTCATCAAGGTTTTTTTTAAATTGCTTGGAATATGACAAGCTCGAAGATTAGGTTAGGTTAGGTTCTGGGTTAGGTTAGGTTCTGGGTTAGGTAATGTTCTGGGTTAGACAGAGACTAGGGAGAAGAAAGGTAGGGTGACTTTCAGTTGGGTTGGAGTAGATAGACTTGGGTTAGCTCATTTGTGGTAGACAATGTTAGAGGTTGACTTGGGTTAGGCCATTTTGGGTGCACGAGGTTGGGTTGGACGAGGTTAGGTTGGTGATATGTTGGGTTAGGCTATTTGGGTTGGACTTGGACGTTGGGTTGAATTTAAGAAAAAAAATGTCGTTTTTATTGGAAAAAATATGTGTGTTAGTCTTTAAAAATGCGATTATTTAGGATTTCGAAAATAAATTAATGAAAAAACAACACAGAAAGTGAAGATTTGCGTTTCAAGTTGATTTCAATAGCAAAAATTCTAATAAAAATGTAATTTTCATTCAAAAAAAGGACAATAGACAAGAAAAAACGGCGTTTTAATAATCAAAAAGTGGTTTTTATCATATTCATTATTTTCTTTATACAGAAAGTGCAGAAAATGCGTTCGGGTTGTTTTCAATAGCGAAAATTCTAAAAAAATTGTAATTTTCATTCAAAAAAGCATAAATGACAAGAAAAAAACGTCGTTTTAATCATCAGAAAGTGGTTGCATCATATTCAATATGATGCAGAAAGTGCAGAAAATGCGTTTCGTGTTGTTTTCAATGTCAAACATTTTAATGAAAATGTAATTTTTATTCAAAAAAAGCATAGATAACAAGAAAAAACGTCGTTTTTATCATCAAAAAGTGGTTGTATCATATTCTTCATTATCATTATACAGAAAGTGCAGAAAATGTAGTTCGGGTTGTTTTCAATAGTGAAAATTCTAATGAAATTGTAATTTTCATTCAACAACAAAGCATAAATGACGAGAAAAAAAACCGTCGTTTTCAAAGACATTAGTGAAAACGTATAATTAACTCGTATTATCTAACATTTATTAAAATCATTGCGTGCTAGCAATGCCAACTTCGAAAAGTAGAAAAAAGAAACAATGGGGAAACAAAAACCAGACATGCAGTTGAGTTGCTTAATTGTGCGTCCAGTTATTCTCTCGCTTCTTTGTTCTAGTTCCAGGCGATATTATTTCATTTTTACGCAAACTTCCTATAGAAATCTTCGCGGTATTATTTAATTATACTGTATTTAAATAGCCGTAAGTAAATAAAGTGAGAAGATTCACGCTTCAGGACCTCAACTGTTTCATATTAGAGACGGTTTTTAGTGCACAATGATTGCCTGCCATTTCGCAACCTTTCTCTATAATTTCGAGCATTTCAATTAGTTCTACTGTGTTTGTTACTTTCGGTGTATTCGTCCTGTTACTTGGTATCAGTTTCGTATAGTCTAGTCCACAAGTGCTAGAGTAATTTAGCAAGTGAGCAAAATTTCGCAAATGAATAGTTATAAACAAGGATCTTTTAGATGTTGATGAAATAAGTGTTCAAGTAGTCAAAGATTACATCCGGCTTACCAAAATCTTCATGGAACAAAGTTACTTTCAGTTCGCCAACTGCAATGGGAAACCCGTTGTCTCCTTTCATGGTTGATCTGTTCATAGATAAAGTATAGTATTCTACTCGTGAGAAATGGACATTACTCGCACGAATGACTTACAAACTTCAATCTTACGAATAATGACCTCCTTTCTTGCTCGTTGAATAATATACTATTACGTTGCGTTTTCTCCATAGGTTTACCAATAATTGACTACACTGTGAAATTAAATCAAGTTCAATTTTCACTGCTACACAGACAATACAACCAAACACTTTGTCTGAAACTTCAATCTAATATTCAAATATCTATCGCCTCATTATTTCACTTCGTATCGCACTGTTAACTAGACTTCTTTGGTCTGCGTGCTGATAGTGTTTATAAATGAGAATGGAATTCTCTCGAAGCCGATACGAAATTCGCTAAAAGTATCTCGAAGCAACGCGACATCTAGAACAATCGCGAAACGTAAGTCGAGTTGAGCGCGATCTTGGTCAAATCACAATCGATTTACGACGACCAGCGGCGGCCGCCGTTAGTTTTCTCAGGGAATGATTTACAACAACTAACTTGGACAAGAAAAAATTTTAGTTTACCACTTCTTCCACCCTCAAACAAGCTTTAAACAAGATTTCTTTGGCAGGGATTAAATCAAATGAATGTCATTGATGACACGAGTAGATTTAACTTAATTGTGACATAATATCGGAATGTTATGAATGATTTGACTGCTTTATCTTGTAGTGCTGAAGAGGCAAGTGTCTTATTCCGAAACATCGATGTTCGCTATTGAGTCTCATTCCGAAACATCAATGACCTTCAGTGAGTATGTCAGTGTTCCATGCAAGCGAAATTATACTTCTTTCATATAGTATATTGTGTAGCAATCCTGTGAATGATATCTGATTCAATTCCGTAACGAATGTTTAATGGACATTACTCGCACGAATGGCTTACAAACTTCATTCTTACGAATAATGACCTCCTTTCTTGCTCGTTGAATAGTATACTATTACGTTGAGTTTTCTCCATAGGTTTACCAATAATTGACTACACTGTGAAATTAAATTAAGTTTAATTTTCACTGCTACACTGACAATACAACTAAACACTTTGTCTGAAGCTTTAATCTAATATTCAAATATCTATCGCCTCATTATTTCACTTCATACCGCACTGTTAACTAGACTACCTCGGCCTGCGTGTTGATAGTGTTTATAAATGAGGATGGAATTCTCTCGAAGCCGATAGGAAATTCGCTAAAAGTATCTCGAAGCAACGCGACATCTAGAACAATCGCGAAGCGTAAGTCGAGTTGAGTGCGATCTTGGTCAAATCACAATCGATTTACGACGACCAGCGGCGGCCGCCGTTAGTTTTCTTAGGGAATGATTTACAACAACTAAGTTGGACAAGAAAAAATTTTGGTTTACCACTTCTCCACCCTTAAACAAGCTTTAAACAAGATTTCTTTGGCTGGGATTGAATCAAATGAATGTCATCGATGACACGAGTAGATTTAACTCAATTGTGACATAAAATCGGAATGTTATGAATGATTTGAGTGCTTTATCTTCTAGTGCTGAAGAGGCAAGTGTCTTATTCCGAAACATCGATGTTCGCCATTGAGTATGGCAGTGTCTCATTCCGAAACATCGATGACCTCCAGTGCGTATGTCAGTGTTCCATGCAAGCGAAATTATACTTCTTTCATATAGTATCTTGTGTAGCAATTCTATGAATGATATCTGATTCAATTCCGTAACGAATGTTTGGAGTACAAACTGAATTGAAAAAAGTGATTTTTTTTTCTGTGAATGTGAACTGGCATTTGCGCACTGGACTAGTACTCGCGAAAAACGTTTCTCCTTGAATAATCGAGTGTTTGATTTTTATCTGACTTGGTCGACTGCTGATGATTCATGAATTCAGTTTAGTAGTAATTTCACGTTTGATATCTTGCTTTTGAATATTACATTACGCATCGCAAACGAGATGTAACAGAGTTGCGAGTGTATTAATAATAATTATTAGGTTATGTCTGAAGTGAGGGTGTCTATTCGACTCTTGGCTACAACCCGCAAGGGTTTATTGTGGTACACACCTATTAACACTCGACCAAATTACGTCTAGCTTCTTGAACAAGTATGAGTTTGTTTGTTGAGTGATTTTTCAGGTTCGATAGCTACAGAAAATTTCTGCTAAACACTGAAAGCCGGATTATGTCCACGGTAGGGCAGGCCTAAATTATATCCTCGGCTGTTCCATCCAAACCGAGTAGCACGCTCTGTAACAATTCAAATCCTGTTAGATTCTCCAGAGGCATAAAACTCTCCTTGCAGTCCAGTTCAGTGTATGTTTGGCAACACCTAAAGCGATGCCAATGCAAGGTTTTGAATTGAGGACGAAACCACTCTCCCTCAGCTCACAGCTTCACTTGATAGTCATATATGGGACCCCAGATTGGAGTACCATACTCCAAACGGGAGCGCACATATCAATTTAAAATTAGTTTCAAATTGACGATTTTCTTCTGTAAAATACACAATATTGCATATTAATGGAGTTTCGTCCCAACACCAAACCGTTATTTTGAACACCTCGACACTTGTTTCGATCATCAAGGAATCATCTTCAATATAATCTTCCTCTTGAAGATGATCACCTGGTGATAGAAACACGTGTCGAGGTGTTAAAAATAACGGTTTAGTGTTGGGATAAAACTCCGGTAATATTCATCACTACACCAATGGTTCGAAACAGTACATCACAAGTATATAATATTGCATTTGCATGCACCAACTATGAACCAACTCAAAATCAGACTGCAAATGTTGACAGTCTGAAATTGATTAAATTTTGCTTTGAAGTTTAAAATCATCCTTAGAAATAGG